CACCACAAAAGACGGTTCAAAATCGGGATCGCTACAAGGATAGTGTTACTAGTTGAGAAAAAATGAGGAATAATGAAGGCAGAGTAGGACCAATAAAAAATAAAATAAAATTTTTAACTTCATAAAAGTTAATATAAACATTTAAAATAAAAAATTGTAGCTTATATTATAGATTTTGTTAGTTAAAGGTTGATTGATGAAAAATGTCATTTGTTACATGATTGAAAATCTCAAGAGATTGGATATAATTTTCCGAGTGTGATGGAATGATCTATATTTTTGATAAACCTCAGAAGGTATATTTTTAATTTGCCAAATTTTTATTTTTATTTTTTATTATGCTGAAAAGGAGCATTTTCATTTACTTAAATTTATATTAAACTTAAATTTAAATATTTCATGGACTCAATTTGTAGCAAATAAAATTTTACTCAAATTTTTGCTTTAAATCAAAGAGACTCAAATGTTTAACTAAAACTTTACATGACTGTTTTGTGACTCAAATTTATAAATTTGAATAAAATTTTGAGGAAAAACTAAAGATTGCCTAATGTGAGTGTTTTTTATAAACATCAAATGTTATCTGTATATTTATTAATGAATATAGTAAAAACAAAAAATAGAATAAAATAATAAAAAATGTTTAGGACTCTTATAAAAGTTTTTTAAATTTGATCTACAATGAAAGGACACAATAACTATCAACTTTTGATTTTTTAACTACAATAAAAGGACACAAAAGTTTTTAAAATTTTTTCCGTATTTTTTTGTTTTCATTGAATTTTTTTAATATTCTAAGCAAATTTTTTTTATTTTAGATACACCTAACATAAACACACTTAAAAAGTATAATATTTGTGAAAAAAATATCTAGCAAATTCACTAAATATCAAAAATACAAAAAAAAAGAAGTAGAGAATTCAATACATTTTTCGTATTCTTATGTTGTAGTGATCCCGATTTTGACCCGTCTCTTGTGGTGTTTCAGGCTCGGGTTGGTATGGTTTTGAATGGTGTTATGTATCTTATTTTTTCTTGAATTCCCCTTATTTTTGGTTATCAGGGTATAGTGGTGTGTTTAGAACAGGTAATGTCTCCAAACCTTTAGATACGAATCCAACCCGAATTATGCCTAGAACACAGCTTACGGCGGTCAAGCTACCCGGTCAGCTCGCCGAAGCAAAAATGTAAAATACATTTGAAGTTGCTTGTCCGCTCGAGCGGCCGTTTATGCGCTCGAGCGGAGAATGTTTGGTTCCAGAAGTTTGACATGTTTGCAGAAGTATTGGGAAGGTGTATTCGACGCTCAAGCAAGGCTTTCCACGCTCGAGCGGACCATGTTATATCAGTTCGTGAATCTGATATTTCAGATCACTTTTGTATATCTCTCTCTCTAAAAACATTTCATCTCCCTTCTCTCTACATTTCTCTACACAAACTAGATCAAAAACCTTGATTTCTCAAGATCCATTTGAGTTTTGCCATTGTTTCTTCATCAAAGTGGGTTATCATCTCGAGGGCTTCGTTGTGTGCAGTGAAGATCGAGTTTCAACACCGTTGATTTTGGGGTTTTCATCTCATTTCTTCTTCAAAACTTGAGGTAGGGATTTTCTTAGAGTTATATATACATATATGTATTTGCAAGATATAAATGATTTTCTAAATCATTTTTCGATAGCTTTGAAAATTAATTGTTGATTCAAGAAGTTAAGCGATTTTGAAAGTGGGTTTGTCTCTTGTTTTTTTAAAATGATCTTATGGGTTTTGATCTTCATTGATTGAAGAAAATATGATTTTGGAGAGTTTTCTTTCAAAAGATTTGAGTTGTATAGTTTTGGTGAGAAAACCTAGAATTTGGGGATTTTTTTTTTAAGAGACTGAAAATCCATGAATGATATTGTTATATTTATTTTGCGTGTCAAAATAAATGGATGTTTGGAAAATTTCTAATTTATATTTATATAAATGATGAATTTCAGGGAATATAAGAATTATTGTTTATTTTAGAAATTATTGTTCAAAACGTTGAAATAATCTTGAAATAACTAATTGTCGAGGATATTTGAGAAGAGGGAATTGTGTTATTCCTTGGATGATGAATTAAAATAAAAATATTTATATTCATCTTGTGAAATTGGCATATCAATTCATTTGATTACATTAAACTTTGAAAGTTGATTTGAAAACTTGCATTGAGAAAAGAAATGTTGAGAAACAAGTTTTCATGGAATGATTTTGGAGTAAATACGTTGGTAAGTCTTGGTAGGTGGGGTAGATGATATTGAATAAGTTGGCCTGAGAGTCCGCGGTGAAAGACCGAAACCCGCGTGAATAGGTGTCGAGCCTTCTGGTTAATACTAATAAAAATGACAATTTGATAGTACTTGTATAGTCTACTTGCAGACACTTACCTAGGGATTACCAGAGTCGTATTTACCGTCCTTGAAATAAATTGTTAAGTTTTGAACAATTGAAATTGCATGATATCATTGAGCATGATGGTTTTCAAAAGATGAAAATGTGATTTATCTTCAAAAATGGCATAGCATGGCATGTGCATTTCATCTCTTGAGATTTGTATAAAATGTACATACTTTGTTAAGAATTTCCTATTGGGCTTTATGCTCACCCTACGGGATTTTGTGTAGGAAAAGATGTGGTGATCCCACCTAACTAGGGGCGTGGAAGTATGTATGTTGGGAGTACAATGCTCTCATTTTGCTGTGACTCTGTGTGTAAGCCAAGGACTGCATTTGTGTGGGTTTGAATAACCGTTTTGTGTAACCAGACTCAAGCCTTGGAAACTTGTAAAGCCTTGGGGGTATTTATTTGTTTATTTACTTATTGTTGGATTAATGTATTATTGCATGAAGAACTATTGTGTCATGTAATGTAAGTTTGGAGATTTATATTCGATTTTCCTTAAAAGAGCCGTTATTGTTGTCTTATCAATTGGGCTATAAATTTGGGCATTACAAAATCACTTATGTCAATTGTGAAAACTTATGCATTTTTGTGTTGTTGAAAATTTTCAGGAATAAACTTATGCATATTTTTTGTTAACTACCCTAAGATTTGTGACACAATTTATGTGATTTTGTGAAAACTTATGCAAATTTGTGAAATAAAAGTGTTATCCAAAGACTTACTCGTATTTGTGATCACTTACGCGCTTTGGGAAATCATTTACGTTAGTTGTGAGAACTTATGCATTTTTGTATTGTTGAAAATTTGGTTGGATTTATCTTACACGTCATTTTGTATTAACTACCCTAAGTTTTTTGACACAACTTTACCTGATTTTGTGAAAACTTGGGCAATTTTGTGAAATAAAAGTGTTCTCCAAAGAGTGACTCGTATTTGTAATCACTTATATATTTTTTGAGAAATTACTTGCGTAGGTTATACAATTTTGTCAAATAAAAGTGTTTTCCAAGGATTTACTCGTATTTGTGATCACTTAAGTATTTTTTTAGGAAATTATTTACGTAAACTTGACTCTTTCAAGCACAAAGCTTTCCACTTGAAATTTCCTAAATTCAGTACATCAATTCTATTTTTGGGTTTTAGCTAAGTAAAAATTATAAGAGTTAAATGTTATTTATGGTATTGGCTTAGGGCATTTTTATCCTCTGACATTTAAATATATGCAAAGTGCCCTCATGTGATTTTGACCCAGTTTGCACTTTACCTCCCTACTGTTACTAATTTTGTCCAAATTGACAGATTTTGGGTCACACAAGGCTATTTTAAGAGTTGGCATGAAAAACAAAGAGTCAAAAGTCAAATTTTAGTGTAAAAAGACAAATTTTCCATTTCATTTTCTTCTTCCCCGTTTGAAAACCCTAACTCTAACTCACCCACTCTCTCTCACCACTATCCCCCCACCTCTCCCACTATCCCCCACCTCTCTACCGCAGCCACCACCTCCTCTCCGGCACTACTCGGGTTTCACAAATAACTTTCATTTATTTACAACATTCATTGCAAAAATTGTCTCAAAATCACTAATTATAGAAATGTAAGCAAGTTTTGACAAAATGGAGGTGAGCTTGAAGCAAAGAAATATTTTGTTCTTATTTTTTTCTTTCTTTTTTTAATTGTTTTTTTAAAGGAAAAGAATCAACAAAACAAAACAAAGTGTAGATCGCTGCACCTGAATCATCTTCGTTTTCCTTTTTTCTTTTTTCAACTAATCTCTTCAGGTTATTTGGATTTCGAAGTAAACAATATACATATAAACAACACACATGCATATCTACATACAGATCACTCTATATATACATTACACATATATATACATAATTTCTTTGGGTTTGAATTTCAAATTTAAATTGGAAATTCAAAATCAAAAGCAAATGTGTATCATGTGATATAATGGGATTATTGGATCTTAAAACCATGATTTAGGCTGGTTGTAACAGTGGGTTGAAATTCAAACCCAAAATCAAATGTGTATCATGTGATGCAGTGGGATTGCTGGATCTTAAAACCATGACTTTGGCTGGGTGTTACAATGGGGACTAGGGAGTAAGACAGTGTTATAGTATTGAGTTGAGGGTGTTCAATTCTTTTTGCAATTTCCGAACACATTGTTATTTTAGTTCAATTTATGCACATGTAAAGTGCTTTTAAGGTAAAACCACAAGGGGGCAGAGCAGAATTTACTCAATGATAAATTACAATTCATTAAGAACAAACCCATTAATCCCCAAAAATGCAGAGTACCTTCATTGATTATTACCTAATACTATTACATAATGCAATTAATCAGCTGAATAATCCAATCAATTCAACACAAGGTCAAAAGAACCCATTTGGTTTCTCGACTGGGGTTTTGAAAATCAAAACATAATCAATATGGTGTTTCAATCTTCAAAACTCCATAGGACTAGTATCCATATGAATACATATAAAATATAAAATAAAAAAAAAAACTAGGAATCAAAATCCAAGGAGCATCAAGATATCAACAAAATGTGAAAAGCCCAATATAGTACCTTGCAAAAGGTGAGAGAATTGGGATGAGAACGAGATTGTCTAAGACCTCCACCAAACCCGCTAATCTGGGACTGGAGAAGAGTTGAGGAACTCCACGAAGCTGTTGCCACTCTCTCCAAAAACCTCTCTCTCTTCACAAAATAATGGGTGGGTGAGGCGTTAACGGTTAAGCAGGAGTGAGAGAGTTTTTTTTTTTTTTTTTTAAAATACTCACCAAAACAACGTCGTTTTGATGAGTTTTATTCTCAGCTAAATAAGCCAAAATAAGAAGGGAATTCCCAAACTAAGCCTAGTTTTGAAAGAATTCCCAAAATGAGCTAACTCGCGGTTCACAATCGTGAGTTCAAGACTTTTCCGCCCCCCGTCGCCTGAAACCAGTAAATGTTTAAACTCGCTGTTAGGAAAAGCGAGTTTAATTAAGGACTCGCTGTTAGAAAACGCGAGTTTGATTAAATTTGTTTCCTTTGAACTCGCTATTCACAAGCACGAGTTTATCTGAAATCGCTGTTTGTAAGCACGAGTTTAACAAAAAAAATTTCTGCTGAAATCGCTTTTTCAAAACATGATTTTATCAGAAAGGATAACTCGCTGTTTGTAAGCACGAGTTTAGCAAAAAAAAAATTTCTAATGAACTCGCTCTTTGTAACGACGAGTTCATCACAACGCTGTATGAAAAAAAAATTTCATCTCACTCTTTAGAACCACGGTTTTTTGCCAAATTTTTTTATGAACCGTGCTTTTAGCGTAATTTTTTTTTTAATTTCAATTTTACTGAACTTTAAAGAAAAAATTTTCGTTCTTTTGTTTATGTTGTCATTGTTTTGGTGATAATATATTTCAGAATAATTTTTTTGGTTAAAATTCTTTTACTAAAACCGTTCTCATATTAATTTTTTTTTCTTTCCTTTTGTCTTTAACCACGAGTTCATCAAAACCCACGTTTTATGAAAAAAAAATTTCATCTCACTCTTTAGAACCACGGTTTTTTGCCAAATTTTTTTATGAACCGTGCTTTTAGCGTATTTTTTTTTTAAATTTCAATTTTACTGAACTTTAAAGAAAAAATTTTCGTTCTTTTGTTTATGTTGTCATTGTTTTGGTGATAATATATTTTAGAATAATTTTTTTGGTTAAAATTCTTTTACTAAAACCGTTCTCATATTAAATTTTTTTTCTTTCCTTTTGTCTTTATTTTGGGTTAGAATGTGTAATTCAGTATTTTTTTATTTTGTTTGGCTAAAGTAAATTTCTTTTGTTTTTCCTTGTGTTTGTTTTGGGTTAGAAGGTAATAATGTAATTGATAAATATTTTGAGCTTTAGTAAAGCCGTTTTGATGTCAATTTTTTTTTTTAATTATTATTTCTTTGTTTTGCGTTAGAAGGTGTTATTCAGTAATTTGTTTCGGCTTTAATAAATCTGTTTTCATTTAAATATATATATTTTTTCTTTTGTCTTTATTTTGGGTTAGAAGGTGATAATGTAATTCAAATTTTTTTTTTCACTTTACTAAAGCCATTTTCATGTAAATTTTTTTATTTTATATTTTTTTCTCTTCTCTTTGTTTTGGGTTAGAATGTGTTATTCAAAATTTTGTTTTGTCTTTACTAAAGTCGTTTTCATGTAAATAATATATATTTTTTTCTATTGTCTTTGTTTTGGGTTAGAAGCTGATAATGTAATTCATAAAACCTTGAGGAAAAAACACATAAGTCTCCCACAAAAATACATAAGTAGTACAAACATAAGTCTTGAACAACAATACATTATGGACACCATGAACTGAACACACAATACATAGATAAACATAACAGTTAGACAGACAAATATTAGCCAGACAATCTGACCAACTCATTACGGAAACACTTTCTCTAACACAGACATTACATATTAATGCATGACCTAATATTGCCGAAGTGTAGACATTAACACCTAATTCGCGCTTAAATCGGTAGGTGGCTCAGAGTCTGAACAATCCGAAAGCTAAGCATCAGAGACAAGTTGAGGATCCTCCATGATACCCTTGATAGCTGCATCATTTGGTTCTGTTTTGTTCTTCTGGGCATCCTTCTTAACTATGTATAGCTGCATATCGCGGGCTAACCTACGGTTCATTTGAGAAATCTCACGTTGTAGTCTTTCACATAGTCGATCAACATTATCAGGATCTTCCTTTTGGATCTCAACAGAACGTGCTTTTGGCACCTTCAATCGATTTTCCCAACATAATCTTTCTATTTGGACTCGCTCTATAAATAGTGCGAGCCACTTCAGAAGTCTAGCGTTTGCTAAACCATATCCTGTTTGATTATCTGATGGATCCTCCACCAAACCACATGGATCTCGATAGTACTTGGGCATGACAAAATGTCACTTCCCAAACCTATCATGATAAGCACAAGAGGCATCTAACGAAGCAAATGGTGTATCATCTTCAGCATCGCCACTTCCCCTTCACTGTGAGGAGGTGGAAATTTGATCAACAGTGTAATCGCTATTCCGATTCGCGAGTTTGACTAAGAAAACGCTATTGCAAATAGCGCTTCTAAACAAAACACTATTCTGAATATAGCTTCATTTCGGAATGCAGGTTTGTGAAGAAAACGCTATTACAAATAGCGCCGTCACTGTATAGGTGATGAAAACGCTATTACAAATAGCGACTTTACTGTTGACAAAAACGCTATTCGGAATAGCGCCTTTAGTTCTGAAGAAAACGCCATTTCCAATAGCGTTTACACTGTACACCCAACTTTCATTTCTTTCCTCATTAGCAGATTATTTTTTTATTTTTTATTTTTTTCTCTTGTCTTTGTTTTGGGTTAGAAGCTGATAATGTAATTCATAAATTTCTTT